TTTTGCCTTTTGTTGCAGAGGTGGGAAGAGAATGTGAGTGGGAATTTGTGAAAAGAAGAGAGAAAAATTAAAAATAGTAGCAAAATAGAGAGAGGAGGAGCCTTAGGAAGGTGGGAAGCACCATTGCCCAAAACCCTAAAAAGAGAACTTGTGAAAAGGGCCCTCATGCCATACCTTCACGCCCACACAACTTAGTGCCTAACCACATGGCACATGCTAATGGAATTACCAGGCCATAGAATGTGTACTCTTTTTTGTAGCCCTTTTATTATTAATGAATATTATTTTGTCCTTCTTCATTTATGAATTTATATATTTTGATCATTTCATTTATTAAAAAGTATTATTTTCACCATTTTCAGACCATCTTAAAGAAGAATGTGTTTATAATTTTTATAATTGACGGAGCCAATATGCACGAATTCATAAATCAGAAAGTAAAATAATATTCACTAACAATGGAGGGATCTTGGTGTAATTAACTTCTTCTCTCTTTTTTTCTTTTTTTTTTTCTTTTTTAAAATTACTAAGTGCACTTCAATAATTTTATGCATTTACTGGGAGGACCCTTATTAGGATCATGAGGCTATCAAGTAAGGTCTGTTCATTACAGCTTATAAGTTTGTTTACTTTTTCAGGTTTATTTTTGTTTTTGTTGATTTTTCTAAAACCGTTTTTAGAGTAGACAATTTTAAATTCTAAAAATATAAAATAATTTTTTAAAAGAAAAATGCTTGGGAGCACTAATTAGTGCTCCCACTAATTAGGTGGCAGTGGGTCCCGTCATTAATGATGTGATGTTTTGGTCTTGGAGTTGTATTTTTTTTATTTTTTTTTTTACTTTTTTAATGCATTAGTACTATTAGTGGTGATGTTTTTAGTGGGATGAATCATTGTTGTTTTTAAAAATACAACAAGGATAAGTCAGCTTTTTAATAAGATCATCTAATCTTGGTAAACCTAATATTTAGAATTTTGAGTTAAAATTGTTTTTTTTTTTTTAATTTTTAATTTTTACTGAAGATAAAAATAAGTTAACTTGAACTTAATATTCCCGTTTGGTGCAACTTATGAGGGTGTCTTGGGGCTCTTTTAAATTTGAGAATATATGTCAATGTTTGGCAAAACTTTTGTTTAATTGTCAATTTGCAAAAAAAAAAAATTTAAATAAACATTTTAAAAAAATTGCTTATTGAGAAGTTTAGAGATTAATACTTTTAATTTTCTTGTTTAAATAAAATTGAAAAAATGTGTAACGTTATCATAAATATTTGTGGTTCAAAAATATTTCGATAAAAAAAACGTGTAACACTACCAAAAAAATTTCAATTTCAATTTCAATTTCAATTTTAAATAATAAATTATTGTAACTCTGTAAAAATATTTTTTAACATTTATTACACTACAAGAAATATAGAATTTAACGGCGTTTATTTAGCGACGTTTTTATAAACACCACTGTTTCTAACCTTTAACGACGTTTTATAAACGTCACCTTTTATTTTAATTAAAACGGTACCGTTTAAGGAATAGAAGTCGTTATTGTTTAATGTAGTTTTGAAAATTATAAATACCTCATTGTCAGAATTTTTTATTTAATACAATAAAAAAAATTATAATAAAATGATCAAAATTGTTAATTGAAATATATTTTTGACATAATTAAAGACTGTTAACTGATTTAATGATTCATGAATAAAATGAATAATTTGTTATGTAATTAAAAATTTGGAATGATAGGATGTAATTTGTAAAATTATACTAGACATTTCATATTTAATGTAAATGTTAGAGTATTTATAATTTCAGAAGTGATTGGGAGTTCTAAAAAATAGAGCACTAATAGCTCTAATGAGGTTAAAAAAAATAAAAAAAAACAAAAAAAAAAACAAGAGAGACACCCATCACATCATGGGAGGGGTCAACTCATTAGTGCTCCCCTTAGTGTTAGGGCATCCGTAGTGGAGCTGCTAAGGAGAGTTTTAGTGTCAGTTGGTAAATTTTAGCTAGCAAAGTGTGTTGTTGGGTGCTGCAGTGGATCAGTTAGTGTGAGTATTAGTGGCGTGTGTTAAAAAGTTTGTTAACTGCGGCTAGTGCTTTAGCTAGCGCTTGGAAGTGTTTTGTTTGTCTTCCGGGTTGATCGGCCGGACGTCCGGCTGGTTGACCCGGTCAACGGATTTTTTTTATTTATTTTTTTACTTGTTGAGATTTTTTTTTGGACTTAAAATTTAATTTTGGGCTTGAAATTTTTTATTAAACTAAATTATTTATTTATTTTATTTATTATATACACACACACACACACACATATATATATATATATATTTAACACACACCTTAACACACCCCTTAACACATCCATTACACCACCACTCACTCTCTAAAATTAACAAACTCTTAACACATCTTAACAAATATTTTTGGGCCCCACTTTTAACATTTTTTGTCATATAACACACACTTTAACAAATAATTTTGACTATTTCATTGTGAATGCCCTTATCTTTTTAGTGCTCCTAAGCATTTTTGTTATAATTTATCCTGTGTAACACTTCCTTGGGTTAACTATGACATCACCCATCACTCAACATGATTTCAAAACAAAGGAGGCAGGCCTGAACACTAAAGGGGTCATGGCATCATTTTATTTGCATCAATATGATGGTTTTTTTTGACCTTTTTGGGGGCAAAAAGATAAGAATTTGACTTCATTGAATTCTGATGATGAAGGGATTAGTATAAATCTATTAAATTTTGTATGGATAAGTTCGTTTATAATGATGATGTTATTGTGTTAATGATGGGGTGGTTTCTTTTTTGACTCCTTTCTAAATTAACATTGATGGATTTTATTCACCCAAAAAAAACATTGATGGATTTGAAATTTTTTCACATTCCTGTTTCGGAAAAATTAAATCAAGGAATAACTTGAAAAATAATTATAAATTTTATCACTACTAATACTAATAATTATAATTATAAACTTTTCATTTTTATGTAATAATTTTTTAACTTTCCACTTAGGGGTAATTTCTTTTTTTATTTTTTTTTATTTCTATTATAAAGAAAGTAAGATAGTCGAGTCTTATAGTAAATTATTTAAAGTTGATTTAAAAATTTAATAGACTTTAAAATGTAATTTGAACTTATTTACCTAACAAGTTGATCACGAATAAATTTTTAGCAAGTTAAACATAAGTGAAACTCAAGTGACTTGGTTTTGGATAAATTACACTTTAAAAATGAGGAACCACTTTTTAAAAGTGACAAAAAAAGTTTAAAAAAAGAAGGAAAAAAAAAAAAAAGAGTGAGGAACCACACACATTAGGCAACCAGACTGAACACTCTGAATGAATTGTAGAATCATATTCCTTAGATTTTTGGCACCCATTTCCCTATTAAAACAGCTCAAAACCTCATACTTCACTCTTTTGTACAAATGACACAAGAAACATCTTCTCTCTTTTAAAAAAAATATATATGTAGAGAACTCCAATCCATCCACTTGCCATCTAATATGAGACTTCATGAGTAAATTTTAAATATGTATAATCACTTGCAACTCAAGCATATCAGTCAAGTCCTAGTGTTTTGCGCACAGGAGAGTCGAACATTAGACCTTTAAGAATTATCTCATAGTGCAACTCCTATGTTTATCCCGTTAACCACTAGGCTATTCATGTTACTTGAAGAATCTCTTTCAGCCCCGTTTGTTTTGGGTGAAAGAGAGGGTATTGGAATTACTAATACCAAGGTATTAGTAATAGGCTTGTTTGTTTTGGGAGAAGGCCTTGGACTATTAGTCTCTTGGGACTGGACTAATAGTCCAATAAAATTATTAATCCGATGTTTGGTTAAACAATTGAAGTACGGATTAATTATTTTAAACTTGACTATTAGTTAAGATAGGATACATAATCCAACGGATTGGTAGTCCTAGGACTATTAGTCATAGGAATACTAATCCAGTCCGCCCAAACAAACATGGCCTTAGAGAGGGGATTGATAATGAGGAGGTATAGATGGTATTAGAAAAATAGTGAGGAGATTAGAAATTTTTTTATTTTTTTTATTTTTTATATATGAGAAATTTTTTTTAAAATATAATTTTTAATTTTTTATATTTTTTTATTTGTTTTATTATTTTATATAAAAATAATTTAACAATTCCTCGCTACTAATCCCCTCACTATCAATCCCCTCACTATCAATCCCCTCTACTATATTCTGAACACATGCTTTCTAATATCCGATCAACTTGATTTTTTACAGGTATGATATACTGAACAAATCTTAAAATATGAACGGTTCGAATTATCAAAATTGGACATAAAAGTGGGACCAATGACCCTGCAAGTAAGAAATGCAAGGAGGGGATCTTGATTTGGAGAAAACGATCATCCCTGGATGAGATTCATTACACAAGATATAATAAACAACCACTAATAAACAAAGGGGAAATATCAAATCAGTATAATTTTAGAAAAATAATTATAAATCAATGAGAAACTATATAAATATTAATAATTAAAATTATGAACGTTTTTACGAATATATAATTTTTTTTTTTTTTGAAAAGCTCACTGGGGTGCAATTTCTCATAAACAAATAGTTGTTCTATGTATACATATGAAATGAGACTCACATGTTTAACAAAAGCCACATCATACGATCAAGTTTTGATGGTTTCTGTAATCGAATTTTTTTTGAATTATAATTTTCCTCAATTGAAACATATTATGGGTGGAACTTTGAAAAGAAATCCCCCCACTTATCAGGGTCCATTTTATTATAAGCTCAGTGCCTTCAAGCTCTTCTGTGTCAGAACACAAAACCAAGACACTAGAATCTGAATTAGGACACAGAGAGAGGGATGTATTCTGTCATTTTTCCTTTATTGTGTCTTGGTTTGGGTATGTGGGTTAAATTTTTTTTTTTTTTTTATTACATTTAAATTATAATTATTTTATTTTTTTCTTATAAAAATTAAAAAAATCTCAACTCAAACGAAACTATTTTAGTTCCAAAATAAAATAACTAAAATGTCAAAACCCCCGTTCCAAATGAAACCATCTCCAGTGTTTTTTTATCTGTCCTAGTAAACCAATGAAATATTTATCATTCTTTTTTAACTCTTCCTCTGTTTTCTATATCCTCTGTTTCCTCAAGACAAAAATTAAGAATAAACCATGTTGTTGTTGTGTTGTTGATCATCATCATAGTACAAGACAACAATTCAAGACCAATGCATAATACAAACACAAACAATAGTCAAAATCACAAAAAACAACAACCATACAAAGACATTCCTCAACCATGGCTGCTGCTTCTTCTTCTGCAACAACAAGATCTCACAAAAAAACACTTCCAATCATTCTCATTTTTGTTGCTTTCCACTTTGTTTTCTCTTCATTTACCCCTTTAGTACTCTCCCTCCCCATTGAGTCAGCTTCCAGCGATTTCTCTCCCGCCAATCAGACTTTCCGGCCACCCAAAACTTTGATTGAGTTGAAGAGAATAAGAGCCTATCTGAAAAAGATTAACAAGCCAGGGGTCAAGACATTTCAGGCATTTTCTTTCTCTTTCTTGGCATTTTCTTGGTAAACCCTTGTATTTTCTTGTTAGGTTTTTGGTTTTCTGATCTGGGTTTTTATTATTTTCAGAGTCCTGATGGTGATGTGATTGATTGTGTATTATCTCATCTTCAACCAGCCTTTGATCATCCTCTGCTAAAAGGACAGAAACCACTGGTATACCATTTTCTGTCTGTTTCTACAGAAAATATTCAAGAAAACAGATTCTGATTTCTGACTAGACTGTTATTTATTTATTTATTTTTTGGGTATTGAAGGAACCACCAGAGAGGCCAAAAGGGCATGACTCCATAGATGAAGTGATAGAGAGCTTTCAGCTATGGAGAAATTCTAGTGAATCATGCCCAGAAGGAACCATTCCAATCCGAAGGACTAGAGAAAGTGACGTTCTTCGAGCTAGTTCAATCCAAAGATTTGGAAAGAAATTGCGAAGAATCGTAAGACGTGACACGACGAGCAGCGATCATGAGGTTAGTTTATGGAAATTGGTATTGATTTCATTTTTCGTGTTTTTAAAAACAAAAACAATGAAAAGTTCGGAAATATCTGTTCTTTTTCATTTTTGTGAAAATTCAAAAAAATAAAAAATAAATAGTGAAAACACTTTTTTCTTATCAATTTCCATTTTTTATATGTTTCCAAGAATAGGAAACAAAAACCGAAAGCAATACCAAATTGGTAATTTTTTTATAGGAAAAATCACTTTCCCTTTGTAGTTTCATGAAAGAAATTTTTCTCTTATTATTTTGCCCTATTTTAGAAAGATGATTATGAGCAGTTTTTTTGTGAGAGAAGAAGTGAGTTATAATCTGAGAAGTGAATTATAACTCACTTCCCAAAATAAGCCATCCAAGTGTATGGAAACAGAATTGCAAGTTGGTTTGATTTTTCATTATTCGTGTTTTTAAAAGCAAAAAGAAAAAAAAAAATCATTTTTGTGCGTAAACAATTTATGAAAATTCAACAACAATTTAACAGTGTTTTGGTTACATTGGAAACAGAGCTGCAGAGAATACCCAAATTTTAACAGAAAACAACTGCTTACCTTGTTTGGTTACTTGGATATCATTTTCATTTTTTGTGTTTTCAAAAATAAAAATAAAAATAATTAAGATTTTGGAAATGCCAAAATGGTTCTTGAAAATTGAAACAACAATTTAAAAGTGTTTTCTAAAATTGGTTGTTTTCGTAAAACTTTTTCAAAAACAGTTGGCAAACAAATTTTTTATTAATTTCCGTTTTCTGTTTTCAAGAACAAAAAATAAAAAATAAAAAATAAAAAATTACCAAATGTGAAATTTTCTTTGAAGAAAACACTTTCCCATTGTAGTTTCTTGAAAAAAAATTCCTACTATTTTCTATATATCCATTTAAATGAAACTAAAAGCAATCCCCATCTCTGGCAAAGACAAAACTTGTCCTATCAATTCCCTTCTTTTTCTCCTCTCTGTAACTCTATATATGAGGCTATTTCCACCAAAAAGGAAAATTTTATTTTCCTTCATTTTCTTCACAACCAAACAGTGCATTATGAGCAAGAAATGCTACATGAAAACACAAAGGACAAACTATAAATTTATAATGACCCTGTATTCTATAAATTTATGCTAACCTCAAACCTTAACGACTCAAAAACCATGAATTAAAACAATGCCGTTTGTTCTAATTTAAGAAAAAACAAGTTCGATCAGCATAACTTTTTTTGTTCATTTGAATTGGATGTTTTAACGATCATAATATTTTGAATGACAGCACGCATTGCTTTTGTCAATGAACACAAAGCAATTTGCTCTAATTTCTTTAAAATAATATTTTTTTAAAAAAAGTTGTCTATAACTTTTTTGAATCACATACCGCAATTGCTTTTGCCAATGAAAACAAAGCTATTTGCTCTAATTGGAGAAATAAAGACATGTTTTGCATAACTTTTCTGTTGATTTTCTTTGGATGTTTTAATGATTATAAAGTTTCGAATCATAGCACGCGGTTGCTTTTGTCAATGGAGAACAATATTATGGAGCAAAAAGTAATATGAATGTGTGGGCACCCCGTGTAACGGATCAATACGAATTCAGTCTGTCACAATTATGGATAATCTCTGGCACTTTTGGCAATGATCTTAACACCATTGAAGCTGGTTGGCAGGTAAATTTGTTATTGTCTAGTGTTAATCACCTCTTTTGTTTAAAGTTATAAAATTTCTTCACCCAAAACTTGTTTTCGATCATTGATTTCGATTAATCTTACAAGAATTATCCTAACACTTTCTTAATAAATACGTAAACTATGATCAAGATTTTTGGTTTTTCTTTGAAACCCAAATGAGATTTGTTTGTTAGGTTTTTATTTTTATTTTTATTTTTATATGATAATATTGATTCCTGACAAGGCATTCTTTATTATAATACATTTCATTTTCATTGTGGTTCCCACAATTTTTTTTCACTGAATGGATATTTAAAAAAAAATTCTATTTTTCAACACTTGTTTCTATTTTTTGGAAAAAAAAAACAACAGTACAAAAACAGATTCAGCCAAACAAGATTATAGCTTGGGCTCTCTTCTTCTTATTTTTTTCAGTTTATTTTTATCTTTAATAAACTTTTTAAAAAAATTATGTCAAATTTATTTACTTTTTAGGTCTATCCATCTAAGCTAAACAACCTTGAAAATGAAAATATATTTTAAAAAGTTTACTAAAAATGAAAATAAATCAAATTTTGTCAAAAATGTCTATAAGCATTGTACCATTTTTAAAAAAAAAAAAAAAAAAAATTGTTTTTAGGATTGTCTAGTCTAAACAAACCTAAACAAATATTTTTTTGACAAACTTTAAAAAAACATACACTAAAAACAAAAATAAGCCTATGAGATATCTTAATTTATAAGTTGCAACCAAAAAAACCTGTCATTTTGGGTAGTAATTTTTTTAGTGATTTTTTAGCTAAAATAAGAAATTGAAATATTTAGAAATGACTTTTTAATTTTTTAGTGAAAAACATACAAATGGTAGAGAGAATTAGAAGGAATCTTTGATTATCATTTTTTTGGGTATGATTTTTTAGTTATTTTATTTATTTTTTGACTTTTTTAATGATTTTTTTAACTACTTTGACTTCGTTGAGGAAATGAGTTGGATTTTTAATTTTTGGCTATTTTAACTGGACCTAAAAAGTCTCGTTTGGATTGGACTTTTTGATTTTTTTGACTTTTATGAAAGAAAAAATAAAATAATTATGATTTGAATGTGACATTTTGTTTTATTGGTTTTTCAATATATTTGTCTTTTTATAACTATTTTAACTTAGTAACCCCAAAAACCAACATGCCAAACAAGGGCTTAATTTATTGCCAAATGACCAAGTGTTCATTCTCTGTTCAGGTTAGCCCAGAATTGTATGGAGACAACTACCCTAGGTTCTTCACTTATTGGACAGTAAGTGTTTTGTAAAATGCTTTCATTTTCCCATAGTGATTATGTATGAAATCAAATTAAAAACATTTTTGAAAAACAAGTTCTAACCAATATTATTTTATTATCTAAAATAAGAAATTGAAATATTTAGAAATGACTTTTTAATTTTTTAGTGAAAAACATACAAAAGGTAGAGAGAATTAGAAGGAATCTTTGATTATCATTTTTTTGGGTATGATTTTTTAGTTATTTTATTTTATTTTTTGACTTTTTTAATGATTTTTTTAACTACTTTGACTTCGTTGAGGAAATGAGTTGGATTTTTAACTTTTGGTTATTTTAAGTGGACCTAAAAAGTCTCGTTTGGATTGGACTTTTTGGTTTTTTGACTTTTATAAAAGAAAAAAAAAATTATGATTTGAATGTGACATTTTATTTTATTGACTTTTCAATATATTTGTCTTTTTATAACTATTTTAACTTAGTAACCCCAAAAACCAACATGCCAAACAAGGGCTTAATTTATTGCCAAATGACCAAGTGTTCATTCTCTGTTCAGGTTAGCCCAGAATTGTATGGAGACAACTACCCTAGGTTCTTCACTTATTGGACAGTAAGTGTTTTGTAAAATGCTTTCATTTTCCCATAGTGATTATGTATGAAATCAAATTAAAAACATTTTTGAAAAACAAGTTCTAACCAATATTATTTTATTATTTTTATAGACTGATGCATACCAAGCTACTGGATGCTACAACTTGCTTTGCTCAGGTTTTGTGCAAACCAACAACAGGATTGCCATTGGAGCTGCTATCTCTCCTAGGTCATCCTACACTGGCAGACAATTTGATATTGGCATGATGGTTTGGAAGGTAAATTAACTATGTTTTGGTTTCATTTTCAAAATTTATTTTTTTAAAATATAAAAAATTAATTTGATGAAAACATTAAAAAATTATGTGGTGTAAACTCAAATTTAATATGATGCAGGTCAAATCCAAAATGAATCTGATTTAGACAACTTATTTTTTATTAACTTTTCACAAATATTTTTTTTTCTAGTTCTATAACATTTTTGGATAGAAAATACTTATGCTGCGTTTGGTTGAGAGATTTGAAGAGGAATTTAGAAAGGAAAATGAAAAAGGTAGGTGAAATGTGAAAAAAATATACTTACATTTCACATAGTTTCATACACCTTTTCCCTTTCCCTATCCAAATCCCTTCCTAAATCTCCCAACCAAACACAGCATTAAAGATATTCACTTAGGTGTGAGTCTCACGACACTAGATCCACTCTCCCAAATTCTTGTCTCTCTATCCATGATCGTGTTTTAAGATTCTCCCAACATTTGAGAGAAAATTTCTTTTTTCTTTTTGAGTTATTGTCAATTAGGTAAGTTTTTGTACCAAAGCAAAGTAGTTTATACAGTTATTCGATAACTTTCATTTGCACGTATTATAAAGCTTTTCACTAAAGCATATATGCTTTACTTGGCTAATTTTGTTCCCAAGTATTACTACTATATGATTTATTAAAGTGCATTATGTTGATACACCTCGGTGGTTCCACACTTGGTTGCAAATGAATTGACCAAAATGCCCTCATTGACATTTTTTTTTTCTCTTCCCCTTTTCCTTTCCCCTGTTTTTCAATATTAAATTGTAAAGATTCTCCACTTTCTTAATTAAATACAAAATATGTGTTTTTTTTTTAGTTTGACTTGAATGGACTTTTAGGGGAAACTTTCAATTACACACTATTATTATTACATTACACTCATGTACCACACTTTATTATAATGCATAAAGTGAAAGTGAGAATCATGAAAAATTAATGGGATGTAGATAGCACCTCCTTCTCTATTACTTTCATCATTTTCAAATGAGCACCAACCAAACATCCCTACTATTATTAAATCAATCTGATTTTTATATAAATGATCTACGCAAAACAACTTCTATATGAAAACAATTCAAATTACAAAACTGAGAATCATGACAAATTTCACGGTCCCAATAGTACCTAACTGAATTTTTCTCTAGCAGATAAAAGCTAGATCCCTAACCTGAAAAATATAAATAAATAAATAAACAAATTCTACTGATATATTTTGGGTATTTTTGAGTCAACAAAGAATACTAAAGTGCAAATATTTATTAACTCTTTTTTCTTTTCTTTTTTTTGGGCATTTAGGATCCAAAGCATGGACATTGGTGGCTTGAATTCGGGTCGGGCCTCCTAGTCGGGTACTGGCCATCATTCTTGTTCACCCATTTGAGAACCCATGCAACTATGATTCAATTTGGAGGTGAAATAGTGAACACAAGAGCATTAGGATATCACACATCCACTCAAATGGGCAGTGGCCATTTCGCCAACGAAGGGTTTGGAAAAGCATCTTATTTTCGAAATTTACAGGTTGTCGATTGGGATAACAACCTCCTCCCTCTCACCAACCTCCATCTCCTTGCTGATCACCCAAACTGTTACAATATCAGAGCAGGTAGAAACAATGTTTGGGGAAATTACTTCTACTATGGAGGTCCCGGAAGGAATGGAAGGTGTCCTTGAGAAAATCGGAACAAGGTACAAAATAACATTTTTCAAAGCAAGATTGAACAACTCAATATCCGGTTCATTTGATTTGTTTACATTTTCACCCTAGGGTAAATTGTTTTTAGATTATTTTTTATTTATTTATTTATTTTTGTCAATATCAAAATATGCTAATTTTTTCTTGTCATTTCTAACAGGGAACTTTATCACTTACCCCACCTCAAGGAAATGAGACTCACCACATATGTAAATTGGGGAAATATATATAAATTTTATATGTAGATACCCCGCTCGGGCAGTGTTTTTTTAATTTTATTTATTTTTATTTTATTGTTTTCTTTGTTTTTCATTGTTTTGATTGTAAAATGGGAGTAAAAATTGAGCTAGGGTTTGCATGCTACTCAAATGACCAAAGCACCCCAATCCAAATGTTACTTCACGATAATTCATATCTGTATTACAAATATTGACTAAAGGTGTGGAAATGACTGCCAAGTCATCACAAATTATGTAATCTCAAAAGTACAAAAAATATACCCTAATTTGCTCTTTCATTCTTAATGGATAATGATAACCAAAGTAAATGCAGCAACTAAGCTCAACATGACTTGATGCATGCATGCATATCAAGAGAATCCTACTCTTCATACCTGAGAGTGGCACGTTTTGACCTTTCTTGTGGAATCATAATCTGTGTGCATGCGCCGCACAGAAAAAGGTGACGAACCGTTTCAAAGTTTCGTGAAATGACAAGGTCCCCTTAGAAAGCTGGAATCCCACAGTTGGAGGAGTTGAGCTTCCAAGATTATCCAATTCATAAGTCAATATGTTCCATTCGTTTGTAGAGTTATTTACTCAATCGCAAACATTTCTGGAACCTAGAGGTACAAATAGTCAATTTTGAAAGAACTTATTGTCTCTTTCAAATATGAATCTATCTGATTAAGAAGGGAAGAACTTGCATCGGTATCTGAGTTTCAATTGAAACATGGATTTGATTCATCCAAGGGCACTTTCCCCACTAGTAATATAACTGAACTTTGTAAAAGCGTAGTCTATCAAAATCACTAGGTCTTCAGGAGAACAAACATGAGAAGCAGAAGATTCAATAAGATCTATGTCCATCAAATCATCCGATAAAGCTTCTGTTATATCATTAAGTTTGCAAGACTCAGGTAGAATCCGATATGTTCTTCCTAGAACTGCACATAGTTCACGGAATGTGGAATCCTCTATGTTTTCCTTGAAATTAGTTGAGATACCAGAGTTTCCAGTAAGATCTATAGATTTCATCTTTAATGCAATATTCCGAGCAGATTTGAGGTTGAAAACTATATGACATGCTCTTTGTGATGAACTTCGGATGGAATTTTCATATTCCCTTACGAGAAGGTAAAGCAGGACTAAGTTGGCAAATGAGAACCGTGCTATGAAGATGAAGAAGTCCTGGAAATTCATGCCTATTAAAACAAATTTGTGAAGCATAAAGATTAGAAGAAGATTAAAACAAAGAAACTGATACAAGATCAATGTTTTAACTATAACAACTTAAGCAACCACCGGTACAAGAAGTTCAGAAAAATATAACTTAATGCAATTCTTCACAGCTTTTTCAAAAGGTTAGACGTGCTAATCATGCTTATATAGCCTGAGTGTTGATTCTTTGCATTCATTACAATGACTCAACCAAAACATATCACAATTGGACTTTTATATCATGATGGTGAAAAAATGTACTAACAAAACAAACAATTTAATCAAACATAGTAGATCTTCAAAGTGATGTGGTTTAGAATATACCTGTGTTAGCAGCAAGATTGCGCTGGCAAAGTCCCTCAAAATCATCACATATGTCTTTGATGTCTTCAATGTACTCCTTAGCCTCATTATAGTCTCTGAAAAGCAAATCCCACTGAAAGAGTATGGAGCAAACAGAAACAATTCAGTTTTATAAGATATTGCCCCCTGGCTCTATGTATAGGACTCAGATCATTTCCACTAACTAAATTACTTGGCTCCACTTACCACCCAACAGAGGTTATAGGCATTGAACCAGTTGTGATTAATTGATATCGTATCTTCCTGAAAGCATTATCAATGTATTTACAATGTCAACAGAACTGTAATGATATATCAAGAATACAACTTTCAAACAATTATGTTTGCTTAGGTACTTTGATTATTTCCTTTTTCTTTCTTTCTTTTTTTTTTTCTTTTTCTTTTTTACATACAGTGTGGGAGCCGAATAATAGCGGAGTCAGATGAGCCGAATAGACACTTGGAGGCCTAGGAGATAGACATTATTCGGCCCTATCCTGCATGATCCGGAGGCCGAATATAATAAATAGGCTGAATAGTCATTGGATTATGGAGCTGAGTGATAACTGCTTCATCATGGGAGAAGCCGAATAACTAAGAGGATAATGGGTGAAAAGTGGACCGGGCCGCGAGGCACAGGAAGCGAGTATAAATAGAGGAACAACAATCAAAGAAAGGTATGCGAGAAAAAAGCAAGCTTAACTTAAAATATAAGCAACCAAGAGGGTATACACTGACTTATCCGTCGGAGTGCTAATTCCGGCACCCCCGACCGGAGTGTTCATTCCTTTTCAGGTGACTAGCTGTGAATCTCGAGCGTCCTATTGGATCCAAAGTGTATTTCCAAACCACTCCCCCACATAGAACTAGTTCACAAGGAAATTTTTATACAAAAATCTTACTAGAATTTTTTCAAAAATAAAAAACACAATTCAAATGTAAGGGAAATAATGGGGGTTGGAGAAAATACCAGATTATGAACTTGATGGTACCATCCACTAGGAACAAAGATTATTTCATTTTGTTCTTGAGTGCACTCCAACCAGATGGCCTTGACAATGACATACACAAATAAACACACGTGAATATTTGCAGGAACAGTATGCAAAGAGAATTTCAGAAAAATAAATTGATGAACTAGATTGGCAAATTACCTTCTCAAAACCAGGGAACTTTGTTTCACTAACATCCTTAAAATTATTTCCTTTTTCTTTTCTTTTTTTTTTTCTTTTTTACATACAGCTAGTTCACAAGGAAAATTTTTATACACAAATCTTACTACAATTTTTTGAAAAATAAAAAACATAATTCAAATGTAAGTGAAATAATGGGGGTTGGAGAAAATACCAGATTATGAACTTGATGGTACCATCCACTAGGAACAAAGATTATTTCATTTTGTTCTTGAGTGCACTCCAACCAGATGGCCTTGACAATGACATACACAAATAAACACACGTGAATATTTGCAGGAACAGTATGCAAAGAGAATTTCAGAAAAATAAATTGATGAACTAGATTGGCAAATTACCTTCTCAAAACCAGGGAACTTTGTTTCACTAACATCCTTAAAGATGTCATATATAGAACATTTCATATTCCTAAATGAATAAAGAACTGTAAGCTATACAATGACAAGGCCAAAAGATAACCAACAGTCAATCTACTATTTTCGTTTTTATTTGTGTTATTGCATATGCATCAATTTGATCATTATTGGAAAACTATAAGATAGACTTGAGGCCAGTTATCTCAGCGCAGTGCATGCCCACCATTCTGAACACCTTAAATAAATCAACAACATATTCTTTTCAACTGTCCAAGTCAAATTCCTAGATCAGAAGCCTACAATCCGGACAGATCTATTTCAGATCATATTATATAATATATAGGAATGACCTAACAGAAAGTTTGCTAAAATGAAGGAAATTCTTAGAAATAAAACCATGGTATTACGAGGATTTTACATAGAAATAGTATACAGGGATATATCAAGATCAATAGAACACCACGTTGAACCCAAAAAAAAACTCATAACAGAAAAAAAATGATGCAGAGTAAGCAGTCTTGTAATTTGCAATCACACTTGAGTATATAAGATTGTTGCTGAAATATTAGTTCTATTTGTTTGGGGGCCGCTCTAAGTAAACCCATGGTAGTGATTTTATCCAATTTGTTCTTCTGATTTACAAGTGGCCAATCAAACGGGCTAAATACAATCACAACATTTGTTACTTTAGTTACTATAAACTGCTCCACTTATGAGCCACTGTATCAATTTCTGATTTTCCATATACAGTTGGTGCTATTTGTATTCCATTATCCACCCCTTGTGCCCCACTTATATTTGAAATGTTTCATAATAGGTCAAGTGCAAGCAGTGCCCATAGGGTGCTCATGATCCCACCTTTTTGATAACCATAGGATGTTTCTGCTGTATTCTATTAGTCCCCTATTGTTTATTTATTTCTTTCAATCAACCTGATAAGGTTTATACTGGAATAATCTAATGCAACAATAATATATATATACAAATACCATCCATAATTACTAAATAATTTTTTTAAAAATTGGGCATTTTAGTTCACAATTGAGAGCCAAGTTGTAGTTCATGCTTTTCATAGAAATCAATATATATGAACCCAGTTTGGAGTGAATTGAAAAAAAAAAATAATGGAAAGAAGAATTGAAAGGGAAAACAATGGAAAGGTGGAATATTTACTGTTGCATTTCATTCTCTTGCTGGATTGTATGTCCGAATCCCATGGCAATACATAATAATATGTTTTCAAGCATCAAACAAACATCAAATTATCAATTACCGCAATAAAACGTATAAATACCTGTCAAACACAAGGTGGCATTGACAAGGAGACAGAAAATGCCATTGTTTCTTGCCACACACATTTGCTGACCAACTATAGGACCTGAAAACGTCAGCATGTAGAGGAGTCCATGTACCTGCACGCAGAACCAATGATTTGCTGCTCACAATATGTGGACTACAGAATCATTAATCAAGGGCCACACTAAATCAATCTTGGATAAGAGAAAAACAGAAACAATAATATCCATATCTAACAATAAAAGGTTTATCAAATCTATGCTCAAACCTTTTGCTCCCATGTAAACAAAACGATAGTCAGAGCAACTTATTTCATTTTTCTCTTGGTAAGTATCAGGATCCTTATGCATACGATACTTATCAAGACATAAATTCAACCAGTCATCCTGGAAAAAGGGTGGAGTTGTGTATGCCAAATACTCTGGATACTCCTGAAAATTAGATTAAGGAGGATGTAAGGATCAGCCAAAAAAACTGATAAAGCAATATTTTAGCACCTAAGAAGTATGGACACGGACACGGACACAGACACAGACACGTGTACAGACACAGAATGCGACACAATGATTTTCAAAAAATTAAGAAACAAATACGCAAAAAAAAAACATTTTTTAATATTTTTATTTGCTATATATATGATATTAATTTAGGGCTCAGAGATTCATCGATGTATATGTGGTGTATTTTTACTTTTTTCACTTTTTTTTCTTTTTTATTTCCATATATTTTACTTTGTCTCCAAATCAGCTTTCTAAAATTAGTATATAAAAAAAAAACACAAAAGTGTCATGAGGTGAGTCCAAACATAGGACACGTGTGTCCATGACGTGTCCCCAACATGTCCCGTAAAAAATTAATAATTAAATAAATTGAAACACCATGATAACTGTTTGATTTTGAGCTTTGCCTAATATTTGGCATCTATGACGCATGGGTACTCCAAAAATATTGCCGTACTCGTGCTAGGTACTTATCGGGTACTGGTACTCATACCGATAAGGCTACATGCGTACCGGATACTTTTTATACGTTCTTTGGCAGTTAGGTACTCCATGTGTACTTCATGGGTATATCGGGAGTACACCAAGATATGGGACATTGGTGGATATACGTTTAATTTATTAGAGAGTTCTTATTTACTTGAAATTGTAAATCCTTCACTTGATGTGTCAGAGATGAAAGATGTATTATTCAATGATGAAATTGATGGAAGTAAAAACTAAAATTTTAAGTTTTCAAATTTTGCTTAGCTTACTTTTGCAATGAAACTTTATTTTGTAAATTTTCCTATTTAATGACATTAAAATAGCTTATAGACTTTGCTTTGGTATTAGTATTGTTGAACTATGATTTCTCTATTGATTTTGTAATTTCTCTTTTTAGTTTTGATATTGAACTTTAATTTGTAGATTGAATCTCAAACTATAAATTATAAAAAATCTAGAAAGCACGGATACAGATACGAGGTACGGATACGATACGATACGGATATGGCTATACAGCAAATCTTAAAAAAATAGGATACGGGTACGGCTAGGATACGCTTGTAAAAAATAAAAAATAAATAAATTATTAGCAGTGAGTTACACATAAGCTCAAGAATGTTGAGAAACCACAGTAACTTTATAATGCAAAATACTAATCTTTAAGAATTAGGTATTAATTTAAGGCAGTAGCTAGTTTAGTTTTTTAAATTTTTAATAGGTCTTGCAAATATTTCAATTCAATATCAAGTCTAATATGTTGATATTATAATATCAAAACAATCCACAACTTGACCCTATACTTTTTCCTTTTGCACTAATCAAAAACATTCTATGCAAGTTTATTTGCTTATTTATTTATTGATATTTAATTTTACTATTGTTATATTATCTTATTAATCCTTACTTTTATATAGTTATAGGGGACATGCATGATACAATGAAGATATGTCAATTTGATGAATTCTATTACTTTAGCTTACTATGTTATTTTTATAAAAAAACTAAGCAAAGTATTGTAAAAATATTCTATTTATCCTCGCAATTATATTATATTATGAAGTTATGCAAGAAATGATACAATTCTAATTTCCTAAAAGGAGTAATATGTGACTTGAAGCATTTGATACTTAAAATTAATTAAGAAGTATCCGATAATATGTGACTTGGAGTATCCGATACTTCAAAATTAATGAAAAATTAATTAAGAAGTATCCGATACTTTCAATAAGTATCTGATACGTATCCGTAAGTATCGGTATCTGATATAGATACGTCTTCCTATTTGAAATATCTGTGCTTCATAGTAAAAAATAAAAAAATTATTGACGTATTTCAGCCGTACCCATATCCTATTTTTTTAGGTCTTACCATATCGGTGTACCCGTATCGTACCCATACCAGTATCCATACCCACACCTGTACTTCATAACTTGGCATATGCCACTGAAACTTGACACCAAACACCATTTAATGGGTTAATGACAATTTACCTACTATCAACAAAATTTGTTACCATCAAATGTGCCCAGAGTCTATACAAGTCCATATAAAAAAGAAAAAGAAAAAAGATTCATATGTCAAATAAACAACTTCATTTTCTCTGTTATTATTTCATTACTTATTTTATTAACCTGGTCTACCTTTTAAATTAATCATACAGTTGAAACTGTTAATAAATTATGGTTCCTGAAGGCCCATGTATCAGCCACCTATGATCACATAGTCCTTCTAAACTTGTTCCATGTACCATGAGAACTATTTGCAGTTCATCTACCTATTTAGATTGATTAAATGTTCACTCCAACTGAAAGTTGTAACAATATCAAATAGCATGTTGGCTGTAATACAGGTATTTAAAACAAAGAAAATGAAAAGCAGTTCCAAAACAACAACAAAAATGAAAGATAACTTGGATTCTGATACACACCTTTACAAAATGCCAGTCCTTCAAATATAATGGGGACTTGGCATCAAACTCATGGGTTGATGCATTATCGAACTCCTTAGAAGAAAACTCAAGCCAATAGTCGATGAACTCAGAAACTGACATTTCTACTCTCTTCTGATCTGTAAACTCTCTAGTACCACAGTCTGCAACCTGTAAGAGACAAGTATCACATGAAGTTTTCAAGTGAAGAGGTACAGGATGCACTGCCAAATGTCATTGCAAAAAAAAAAAAAAAAAGAAGAAGAAAAAAAAACCGCAAAAAAAAAAAAAGAAGAAGAAGAAGAAACCGACATAAAAAATAGAAAATAAAAAATAAAAGCTCAACGTCTCAAGTTATTTGGTTCATTGAGATTATTTGAAAAAACTAAAACTATACAACCACACCAAGTCTTTATATATATGTAAGAAGTCCAACACATGATTTAAAACCTAACACCCAAGTGTCATGCATATTGTTTTCCAATTCACCAAATTGGACGCGAGAATCAACCATTAGATGTGCAATATAGCCTGATATTCATGTTAGGTGATCCATAATTACTGCCATTATACCTGTTATTTCCCTGTCCTCAAATTTTTTCTAGCTTAGTTTTCTAAAATTAATGTTATAGTCATATAGAGAAGTGAAAAATGCACCTTGTTTATGCTCCATCAGTTCACATTAGAATGTTCCAGACACAAACACACTTTCATGCACGTACAAAAATGCCGTTGCTAGCACAGACAGACATTGAGTACATCAACGTCTCTTCTTCGATGATGGAAGAACAAATTCAGTTCATTAACTTCCTCTTAGTTTGTGTTTGTGCGAATGAGAAACACTTCCTCGAAATTTTAACAACTTAAAAACTGTTGTCCATAAGCCTTAATGGGTATATTAACATCATTAATGTGGAAAATTCATAGTAATATTTCAAATAGCTATCAATCTAGACCTCAAATTCAATTTTCTCCAGAAAATCATTCACATAAGTATCTGTACACATAAGTACATGCATATTATACCTGAGTGTATATAAGGGATAGCAAACAAGAAGTTCCATTGAACAAACACACAAACAAGCCAAAATTTCAAGTGGGTATAAGCTTATTAGGGCCTGTTTGATTGGGCGGGCGAATCATAGCATAGGACTAGATTATTAATTCATGTGACTCACATTCGATTGTATCGTTGCAATTTTTATCATTGGGATTAGATTCACATGGACATTCTATTTAACAAAATTGGTAATTTTTTTAATTCTACAACTAATAATACAAAACAAGCATATAATTGAAATTATATTGTTGGAACAATCTTCTGTGTAAATAAAATAAATTGAAACAAAAACGAATAAATAAATAAATAACGTACCGAATTTATTTATTGAACCGAATTAAAAAATTAAAAGACTAAGTCGAGTGTGTGACACTCTGTCCTTAAGACAGATTCGCCCTGCTACGGTGCTTACGGTTGAGTGGCGTCTATCTCCCAGGATACAATGATCTTAACCAATTTGTAGTAGCACTCCAAAAAAAATTGTACGGCGAACCAAACCTGTGTTCTAACTCTCTGAAAACTTATTCTAAAACTAATATGAAGAATTAATGCAAATAGAAAAATCTGGACAGCAAGAGAAATAAAATTCAGACAGATTTTTTCGTATCCAAGACTGCAGAAAATGGTCTGAATTTATAGGCAAAAGCCTGACCTTGAACACGTACCAAATTGAAGTGAATAGGTGCACACACTATTCAAATAGATAACTGTTGAATAGTGATCTGACCGTTGCAAAGATCAATTTTTCAAACTGTTTGAAAAAGATCCGTTGGTGGCACAGTTTTAAAACTGTTGGAATTTTATTATTAAACTATTTGAATAGTTTAATCAATAAAACCAATGGTGGAAAAGTTTTTTAAAACTGTTTGGAATATATATACTAAACTATTTGAATAGTTTAATCAATAAAGGAAGAGGTACAAATTTTAGAAAACCACTTAGGAACCCAAAATTTGAATTTAGATTTAAATTAAATTCCCACAATAATTTTTATTGAAAAAATTCATATGAATTTTATCTAAAAAATTAATGTTAGACCTGAAAACGACGTCAACTTTCCATTCACTCATCAATGGTTTTGACGTTCCGTCTTTACCATGTGACTTGCCACGCGGCAAGGAGTACTTCACCTCTTCGGACCCACCCCAAAAGACGTTTGGGGCCCACTCAAATTTGGGCTAAAAAATATGCCTATATTAAACCATTTTTCCAACAATCCCCCACATAAATGGAATTTGACGGAGAGAAAATGCAACAACATGATCTAATTACAGAGAGTATAAAAATTGAAAATATTCTGCAAAGGATAGGTAGCTTTTGGCTTTGAACCTTCCCTTGTGAGACACTATCGGATTTACTAGCTAACCAGTGAACACAGTGTTGTCAAAAGCGCGCCTAGGCGCAAGGCGCAGCGAGGCTCAACTTGTGGGCCTGAACTGCTCCCAGGCGAGGCGCGTTGAAGAAGTCGCGCGCCTTAGGCGCGACTGGAAGCAGGTGAGAGAGGCGCAAGGCTTGCGCCTAGGCGCGACTGATGTTTACGCCCTAATCTTTGATCTAACGGTTGTGGTGTGTGCTCAAAATGGCTCTAACCACAGAGGATTACAACTTATATACACTACAAACCCCATACGACTGAAACGAAACCCTAAATCTGTGTCGTCTCTTCGGCTCTCCATCTCTCGACTTCGATTCAACTTCGACTTGGACTGGGTTCCTTCTTTGACTTCGACTTCAACTTCCAGGTGCGCTACACTCTCTCTCTCTCTCCCCTTCTGCCTTCTTCGACTTCGATCGTCTCTCTCTCGCCCTCCTACGACTTCGATCGTCTGGACTGTGTCGTTTTCATTTTATTTTTATTTTTATTTTTCTCCTTCTTCTTCTCTCCTTCTTCTTTTCTCTTCTTCGACTTGGACTGTGTCGTCTCTTCTGCTCTGCCCTTTTTTTTTTTTTTTGCTCAATTATTTATGTCAGTGAGAATGTAAAATGGAGAAATTAGGGTTGAAAGTTAGGAGGAAGAAGAAGAAGAGAGAACTTTTGTATATATTGAAAACTAATTAATTCCCTCAACTTTACATCACTCAAATATATATAAAAAATCTAAAGTAGCAATATGACCATCGTACCCTCAACTTAAGTAAATATTAACAAGAGAACAAAAATTAACTAAAAGAACTATTCTAACACTCCCTCTCAAGCTGGAGCATAGAGATCGAACATGCCCAGCTTGGCAGACAAACGAAGAAATGAAGGCCGAGCCAAAGGTTTGGTGAGAATATCACCCAATTGATCCTCAGAACGAACATAAGGAGTCACCAGTTGCTTGCGGAGTAAGAGATCACAAATAAAATGGCAATCAACTTCGATATGTTTGGTGCGTTCATGAAACACAGGGTTATTGGCAATGAAGATAGCAGCCTAATTGCCACAAAACATGCGCATAGGAGTGGAAACAGAAAAGCAAAAATCTTGGAGAAGAGACTGAACCCAGAGCATCTCAGAAGCAGTATGAGCCATGGCGCGATATTCAGCCTCGGCACTAGAACGAGCAACGACGGTCTGTTTCTTGCTACGCCAAGTGACAAGATTACCACCAACAAAAGTACAATAGCCTGAGGTGGAACGTCGGTCAGTCGTATTACCAGCCCAATCAGCATCACTGAAGCCAGTGACAGACAAGAAGGAAGATGGGCGATAGAGCAACCCCCGACCTGGAGCACGCTTTAAGTATTGCAAGATACGACATACAGCCACAAAATGGGGTTGGCGGGGAGCATGCATAAACTGACTGACCACACCCACAGCATAGGTAATATCTGGACGAGTGACAGTGAGATAGATTAACTTGCCAACCAACCGACGATAACGACCAATATCAGGAAAGAAGTCGCCAGTGTCACCGGCAAGTTTGACACTAGAATCCATGGGAGTATCACTGGGGCGAGTGCCTAAGAGACTAGTCTCAGTAAGAAGATCAAGAACATACTTCCGTTGAGAAAGAAACAAGCCTTGAGAAGAACGGTCAACTTCAATCCCAAGAAAATACCAAAGATGGCCCAAGTTTTTGGTGTGAAATTGTTGTCCCAAATACTGCTTCAAATTAGCAATACCATTGGAGCCACTCCCTGAAATGATGATGTCATCCACATAGACAATAAGAACAATACTCCCCGTACACGAGTGGCGAACAAAAACAGAGTGATCAAAAGTGGAACGGTGAAAGCCATAGGCAAGCACAACAGCACTGAAGCGATCAAACCAGGCACGAGGGGACTGCTTAAGACCATACAAGGCCTTCCTCAATCGACAAACAAGATGCTCTTGGACGGGAACAACATAGCCAAGGGGCTGATCCATATAGACCTTCTCGTGGAGATCACCACGGAGAAAAGCATTCTTGATATCCAGTTGATATAAAGGCCAAGACTGATTAACTGCAACAGAGAGAAGAATCCGAACAGAGTTAAGACGGGCCACAGGAGAAAAGGTCTCCAAGTAATCAACACCATAGGTTTGGGTGTAGCCTTTAGCTACCAGGCGAGCCTTAAGTCGCTCAACAGTTCCATCAGGAAGATACTTAACAGTATAAATCCAACGACAACCCACAATAGATTTGCCAGATGGCAGAGGGGTAAGGTCCCAGGTCTGATTTTGATGAAGAGCATGCATTTCCTCATCCATGGCAAACTTCCAACTAGAGATGGACATAGCCTCAAGATAGGTGCGAGGAATGGAAATACTAGACAAGCTACAAGCAAAAGAGTGAAGACCAGGAGAGAGGCGATCATAAGAAACGAAATGAGCAATAGGATGTTGAGTGCAAGTGCGTTTACCTTTGCGGAGGGCAATAGGAAGGTCATCAGATGGTAGAGCAGCAGGTGGAACAGGGGCCTCAGACGAAGGAGATGAACTGGTCGGGCCATAAGACACAATGCGACGAGCTTGAGACCGCTGATAAACCTGCAAAGGAGGGGTAGAAGTGAGAGGAGAGGGAGAGGATAGAGGAGAGGATGTGGAAGGAGCCTAAGAGGGAAGAGTAGGAGTGAGAGAGGCTGGCTCCCCCTCACGAGAAGAGAGAAGATCAGTAGATAACTGTTGCCCAGAGGAAGAAAAAAACGGAGTAGACTCAAAAAAAGTTACATCAGCACTGACAAAGTAGCGACGAGACTCAAGATGATAACACCGGTACCCTTTTTGAGTGCGAGAATAACCTAAGAACACACACTTGCGTGCACGAGGAGATAACTTATCCAACCCAGGGTCAAGAACATGGACAAAGGCCACACACCCAAAAATGCGAGGAGGCAAGGGAAAAGGAGATGTGGTGGGATATAACAGAGAATAGGGAGATGTGTGTACAACACTAGAGGGCATGCGATTGATAAGCAAACAAGCAGTGAGAACAACATCGCCCCAAAACTGTTTGGGGACATGCATATTAAACATCAAGGTGCGAGCAACATCTAGCAAATGGCGGTGTTTCCATTCTGCAACACCATTTTGTGGGGATGTATGAGGACAACTAGTTTGATGAATAATACCATGAGCATCACAAAAGGTAGTTACAATAGATTGTACATATTCTAAGGCATTATCAGACCGAAATAGCTTAATACGTTTACCAAATTGAGTAAAGATTTCATTATAAAACTTAGAGATGATAGAAGGCAAATCAGATCTTTGTTTCATTAAAAACAACCAAGTCATCCGAGAGTAATCATCCACAAACATAACAAAATAAAAGAACCCATTAACAGTGGGAGTTCTAGAAGGACCCCAAATATCTGTATGGACAAGAGCAAAAGACTCACACACACGACTAACACTACGACGAGGAAAAGAACTACGATGATGCTTCCCAAATTGACAGGCTTCACACTCAATCTGAGAAACATGACTCAAACCCGGAACAGCTAACTTGAGCTTGGCCAAGGACGGATGACCCAAGCGAAAATGCCACTGAAAAGGAGATACACTAGCACTCAACACAGCAGATGGAGGAGGAGACGTCTCAGCGTCCAAAAAGTATAAGCCATCCTTCTCATGCCCCGAACCAATCATCCTCTTGGTCTAGAGGTCCTGCAAAACACATGAAGTAGGAGAAAAGGTTATCGAACAATGGAGAGCTTGAGTCAATTGGCTAACAGAAAGCAAATTAAATGGAAATTTAGGAACATAAAGACCAGAAGGTACGGACATGGATGGAGTGGGATGAAGAGGACCTTGACCACAGACAGGCCGAGAAGATCCATCAGCAAGTATAATGGTATGATCAACAGGTCTAAGAGTATCAAAAAGAGAGGAATTACCAGAGACATGAGAACTAGCACCAGAGTCTAAGAGCCAAGGCTGAGAGGACTTAGCCACACATGCAATATTACCTGAACGAGCCATGGTAGCAGTAGAGGAAGAAGGTAGACTAGGCCGGAGAGACTGGACAAGGGCAATAAGCTCACTAATTTGAGTAGTGAGTGTCTCATGCGAAGTAACATGAGAAGCATCCGAGCCAATGGACAACAAGGAAGACTGTGAGGAGGGGACATCCATAACCTGATGGACATGATCAGGTCTACCATGCTTTTGCCAACACCAAGGTTCAGTATGAACTTGGGAACCACAATGAGTACACTTGCAATCGGCACGTATACGAGAACCAAGTCCACTACTACTTCCACCACAGAAACCACCACGTGAGCCACCACTACGAGAACCACCTCCACGAGAGCCCCGTGAACCAGAAGAAGAGCTCCGGGAACCAGAAGAACTATGAAAACTCCCGCGAGTAGACCCATGATCACCACTACTAGAAACCAATGCAAAAGATGATAAAGAAGAGGACCCAGAAGTGGATTGTGCTTGTCCCAATGAAGAGCGTAACAGCCTAGAATAGGCATTGGCAGCTGAAGGTAGAGTGTCACTGGCAAGAATCTGATCTTTGAACCCTCGCAACTCAGGATCTAAGCCAGAAAGTAAAGAAGCCATCATAAACTCCTCCCAATGTTGTTTCTGGGTGGTCACATCAGTAGTGAAAGGTCGATGCTGCAGTAACTGATCCCACAAAGTCTTGAGACTACTATAATAATCAGGGAGAGACCGGCCAGATTGACGCATAGCAAAAATCTGTTCATATAACTCGTAGACCCGAGAGACATTACTTTGATTTGAAAAAGACTCAGCAAGGGAGTCCCAAATGGCCTTAGAAGTATCACAAAATTCTACGGTAGTAGCAACCTATGGTTCCAGACTATGCCAAATCCAACCCATCACACAAGAATCCTCACAACACCAATCATCATAATCCTTATCATTAGTAGGAGGAGGGAGTTCACTAATATAGCGGGACTTCTTCTTACTGCGTAAGAAAATCTTGACAGCATGGGCCCAAGCCAAATAATTAGCACCATTCAATTTCTTTGTAGTGATAGATTTAGGCATGTCATCATCTTTACCCATAGTTATAGCCTTAGCCTTAATCTCAACCATAATGATCAACCAGACTTGCAAACAGCCAATACCCACACCCACAATCACCAATATAAACACAGAATTAGCTCAACAATCAAGTTTGGACCCAAATGAGACCAACACATCAACTCAACAGTAGCAATCAATAAAGAGAGGACAAATATCCCTTGCTAGAAGGGTTTCAGCCCTTATTTAGGAGCCTTCAATAGGTAGAACCGAAGAACACAAGGGGACTGGACCAGAAACAGCCAAAAATCGAACAGAATATCAACCCAACAGGAGTAAAACGACAAATTAAGATCAAGGACCCTTAGAGGGGTGATTTTCGGCTCCTAGGGAAGTGAGCCCAGCAAGAAAAACAAGGAAAAAAATAGTCCCAAAGGCAGATTAAAAAAAAATAGTCCCAAAACACGAAATAGTTTCAAAAATCGAAAATTCACATCAGGGATGATCAAAAAATTCCACAAAAATCACCATAAATCTCAGGAGGCAATTTCGAGTCTAGGGGTGAAGGACCCGTCCGTACACTGCTTACGTCATGCTGACGTCATCGTACGACTGATGACATCAGCACGTCTCGGTCACCTCAGATCGATCTTTAGAATCTGTAGAACCCTTTCTAATGAAATAGAGATTGCTCTGATACCAAGTGAGAATGTAAAATGGAAAAATTAGGGTTGAAAGTTAGGAGGAGGAAGAAGAAGAGAGAACTTTTGTATATATTGAAAACTAATTAATTCCCTCAACTTTACATCACTCAAATATATATAAAAAATCTAAAGTAGCAATATGACCATCGTACCCTCAACTTAAGTAAATATTAACAAGAGAACAAAAATTAACTAAAAGAACTATTCCAACAATGCCTTTTTTGAGTCTCTGTTAAAATAAAAAAAATAAATACAAAATATTTATGCATTTTTCAATTAAATATTTTAACAAAATAAATATTTTTTAAAATAAATACAAAAAAATAAATACAAAATAAATATTTTCCATTAATTTTCCATTGTATTAATTAATTAATTTTCCATTACATTAATTAATTAATTTTAATTTTCCATTACATTACACAATTAATTAATTAATTAATTAATTAATTAATTGTATTAGTCTTCATTGTATTAATTAATTAATTGTATTAGTCTTCATTGTATTACACATCTGCTCTGATCAGTCTTCATTATATCAATTAATTTTCCATTATATTACACAATTGCATTACATTGTATTAATTAATTTTTCATTACATTACACAATTAATCACACTTACATTACACTGAAATTATTTTCAATTTATTAAATTTGTTGTGTAGAAAATGACATCATCGGAAAGTAATAGAAAAGATCCGGCGTGGCAATATGCCCATTTGGTAGAGGAGAATAATTTAAACAAGTTTCAGTGTAATTTTTGTGGTAAAATATCAAATAGAGGTGTTTATCGGGCGAAACAACACCTTGCAGGAGGTTATAGGAATGTCACTGCTTGCCCGAAGTGTCCTCATGTAAGAGAAGAGATTAGAGGGTTCATGTAAAAAAAAAAGACACAAAAAGAAGAAATGAACATGTTGCCTGATTTCGATGACATGGACATGGAAGATGAGGATGAAGATGTCGTTGAGATCAATGTCAATCAACACCGCAAGTTAACAAGTAGTAGCCAAGGTTCATCCAAATCCAAATCCAAATAAAAAATGCCAAAGAGAAAAGAGCCTATGGATGTTTACTTCACACCCAATCCTGAATCAGTGGTGAAAAATCGAAGAGACCAAGCAAAAGGGAAACAAACCAAAATTGATGCAAATGACCCTTACAAAAAAAGAAATGAGAGCTCGGGCACTTCAAAGATTTGCAAGGTGGATGTATGATGCTGGTATCTCTTTTAATGCAGTAAATTATGAGAGTTTTGGACCAATGATTGAAGCCATTGGCCAATATGGTCTTGGTATGAAGCCACCGACTTACCATGAAGTGCGGGTTACCCAACTCAAAAAAGAAGTGAAACATACTGAAGATTTGATGAAGTATCATAAAGAGGATTGTGCAAAATACGGGTGTTCCATAATGGTTGATGGTTGGACTGATAAGAGAGGAAGGACATTGATTAACTTTTTAGTTAATTGTCCAAGAGGAACCATGTTTGTTGAGTCGGTTGATGCTTTTAGCTATTCAAAGGATGGGCAAAAGCTATTTGAATTATTAGACAAGTTTGTGGAGAAAGTTGGAAAAGAAAATGTGGTCCAAGTTATCACTGATAGTGCTACAGCTAATGTGTTGGCGGGTAAGAATATTTCCTCATTCCTTACATCAAAATTGTTTACTCATAGTTTGTTTTGTATTTAAAATTTAAAAACTTGAAAATAATAATTCTTCGTTATTGTTACATTATAGGGAGGTTTTTGGAAGCTAAGTATGAACACTTATATTGGACACCATGTGCTGCTCATTGTTTGGACTTGATGTTAGAAGACATTTTCAAGATACCTAGACTGAAAAAGACATTTGAAAGGGGTATTGCAGTACATGGCTACATTTACAATCGGCTTACGTTGCTAAACATGATGAGGCGCTATACAAATTTGAAGAATTAGATCAAGCCTGCAAAAACTAGATTTGCAACCGCCTTTTTGACTTTGTCTAGAATGCATCAACAAAAAAACAATTTGAGAAAGATGGTGACCTCCGAAGACTGGACCTCAAGCAAATGGGCAAAGGAGCCACAAGGTAAAAGAATGGCACAAACTTTGTTGATGCCTTCATTTTGGAATACTGTTGTGTTTGCCCTTAAGGTCTCGGGTCCTCTTGTCAAAGTGCTTAGATTGATTGATACCAAGAAGTAACCTCCCATGGGATACATTTATGAGGCAATGGATAGAACAAAAGAATGCATTGCAAGTTCATTTGATCATAAAGAAGAAAAGTATAATGAAATCTTCGAAATCATCGACAAAAGATGGGATGTCCAATTGTATCGGCCTTTACATGCTGCTGCGCATTTTCTTAACCCAGAATTCTTTTACCTAAAAGCGTTAGAGGTGCAAAGAGATTATGAAGTGATGAATGGCTTTTATGAATGCATGCAAAGGTTGGTCCCGGATGTCACTGTTCAAGATTTGATCACTAATGAGATGAGTATTTATATGAAGGCTGAGAGTCTTTTTGGCAAGTCTGTTGCGATTAGGCAAAGAAATACAAGAGTACCAGGTAATATATTATAGACTCATAGAGTTTATTTTTAGTAATACTTTTAGTAAAACTCAATACTTGGTAACAGGTATTTCTAACTAGTGGATTATCGTAGCTGATTGGTGGGCATCATATGATTCTTATACTCCAAACTTGCAAACTTTTGCCATGAAAGTCCTTAGCCCAACATGTAGTTCATCGGGTTGTGACCGAATTTGGAGTGTATTCGAACATGTGAGTATTTAACATTCTAACTAATTTTTTGTTCAATTCAAATATTTTTTATTCTCATTATATAGAATTTAATATCTTTTTAACACTTGCAGCTTCATAGCAAGAAAAGAAATAGATTGGAACAATAACGTCTCAATGATTTAGTGTATGTCAAATACAATAGAACATTAAGATTTAGGTATGACATGCGCAACACTCTTGATCCCATATCTTTGCAAAATATTGATGAAAGCAATGAGTGGTTGCTTGGGAGGATGGATGGAGAATCAGATGAAGATAATGAGCCTGTGTTTGATGATGATGATGGCTTGACGTGGGCCACTGTTGCTAGAGCTTCTGGAGTAGAAGAAAGTAGCCATGCAAATAGAGCAACAAGTTCATGCTCAAAGGCACAACCGAGGATAGCTAAATCATCAAGATAAACTCCACTTCAATTAATAGATGAAGAGGAAGCGGGCTCAGATGACACAGAGGAGGAAGATGTTAAGGGATACAAATCCACTGATAGAGAAGAAGATGATAGCTTGCTTGCCATTGATGTTGAGGATGATGATTGATTGACCGACCTAACCTACCCTTTCTTTTGATGTTGATGTTTTTAAGTGTTAAGACATATATTAGTATTTGTTGAATATTTATGTTTTGGATGTTTAGTGTTCACGTTTATGTTTTTGGATGTTTAAAATGTTATGAAATATGCACTTTCATGGCTTTGAGAATTATTCTATATTTTGTCTTGAATCTTGATTACTTTTTATTTTTAAAAAAATTGTCTCAGTACTATGAATGATTAGTCTATGTTAATTTTTCTATTTTTTACTAAGACTGTGCGCCTTACTTCAATAAAGCCCGCGCCTCGCCTTGCGCCTTGCGCCTAGGCCCCGAGAGACCTTTAGCGCCTTAGTGCGCCTTGAGCCTTTAAAAACACTGAGTGAACATGATGTCTTGAACTGTTCAGCAGTTTGAGTAAACCAAGACAATAGAACTCACACAGTATTTTTCTAGACACAGTTTAGTTCTCACTATTGTGCTCATTTTGGAACTGAACAACCTGGTCTTTCATAAGTGCTCTAGAGAATTGTAGCCCTTCACAAATCTCATAGAACCGGCCCAGTTCACACTCATATAGGTGATTCTTATGAAGAGTATCCTGCCATACTCTACTAGGTATACCTAGATATAAGAATCATTAAAAGTATTACTTAACCTAAAATGCTGCAGACATCACTATTTCATCATAAAAATGGGTAGAAGTTTGACTCCCCAGTGATCCTTTTGAGTCATACACAACTCGGTTGTCCTTTTGAACCTAGATCTTGGGATCCCCAGTCAACTAGGTTGCGTTGCCGTTGTGGTAACTCTTATTTAATAGGCTTTAGTCTCATTCCCCTCGATGAATTCTCAACTAGCTCTCTTACTAGCCATTTGGTTAGTGGATCCGCTATATTGTCTTTAGACTTCACATATTCAATGGAAATAATTCCATTTGAGAGTAGTTGTCGCACGATGTTATGTCGACGACGAATATATCGTGACTTACCGTTATACATATGACTCTGTGCTCTACCAAATGCTGATTGACTATCATAATGTATGCATATAGCAGGCACCGGTTTTGGCCACATTAGAATATCTTCAAGGAAGTGGCGAAGCCATTCTGCTTTTTCGCCAGTTTTGTCTAAAGCTATGAATTCTGATTCCATAGTAGACCTAGCAATACAAGTCTGTTTGGAAGATTTCCAAGATACAGCCGTCCCACCAAGAGTAAAGACATACCCACTGGTGGACTTCGAATCTCTAGTATCCGATATCCAATTTGCATCACAGTATCCTTCAAGTACTGCTGGATATCTAGTAAAATTCAGCCCAATGTTACGAGTGAATTGGAGATATCTTAGAACCCTTATAATTGCTTTCCAGTATTCTACTCCCGGATTACTCGTATATCTACTTAATTTACTTACTGCATAAGCTATATCCGGGCGAGTGCAGTTCATTAAGTACATTAAGCTTCCAATAATTTGGGCATACTCTAATTGAGAAATACTTTCCTGTACATTCTTAGAAAGATACAAATTAACATCTACAGGTGTTCTAGCAAAATGATCATCATCTTTGCTAAATTTGTCAAGTATTTTCTTAATGTAATGAGATTGTGATAAAACATATCCTTCTGATGTTTTGGTAATTTTCATACCAAGAATTACATCAGCAATGCCCATGTCTTTCATGTCAAAATGTTTATTCAACATTTTTTTGGTAGTTTTAATCATATCATTATTACTACCTATGATGAGCATATCATCTACATAAAAACATACAATGACACAATCTTTGTTTGTGTTTTTAATATAAACACATTTGTCACACTCATTAATTTTAAATCCATTTGACATCATTGGCTTGTCAAATTTCTCGTGCCATTGCTTTGGCGCTTGTTTTAAACCATATAATGATTTAACCAATTTATACACTTTCTTTTCTTTTCCTAAAACAAAAAAACCTTCTGGTTGTTCCATGTAAATTTCTTCATTTAATTCACCATTTAAGAAAGCGATTTTTACATCCATTTGATGAATTTCTAAATTGTATAGAGATGCAATGGCAATTAACATTCTAATGGATGGTATTCTAGTAACCGGTGAGTATGTGTCAAAGTAATCAAGACCTTCTTTTTGTTTAAAACCTTTGACCACAAATCTTGCCTTGTATTTGTTTATTGATCCATCCGCTTCAATTTTCTTTTGAAAATCCACTTGTACCCAAGAGGTTTACAACCTGGTGGCAAATCCACAAATTTCCAAGTGTGATTTTGCAAGATGGATTCAACTTCACTATTGACAGCTTCTTTCCATAAAGGAGCTTCAGGACTGGACATAGCCTCTTTAAAAGTTAAAGGCTCATTTTCTAACAAATATGTTAGAAAATCTGGACCAAAAGATTTTGAGATTCTAGCACGTTTACTACGCCTAAGTTCCTCTTCTTCATTTTGATCTAGCTCTTGCTCTTGATCAAGTTCATGTTCTTGATCCTGACTAGTAATAGTATCATGAGATCTTTTATTACTACTAGTCTCTTGTCCAATCTTATTTGGAAATACATGTTCAAAGAAAGATGCATTTCGAGATTCAATAATAGTATTTACATGCATTTCGGAATGTTCTGATTTATGAACCAAAAACCGATTTGCACAACTATTCTTAGCATAACCAATGAAAATGCAATCAATGGTCTTAGGACCTATCTTAGTCTTTTTAAGACTAGGTATAGCCACTTTAGCCAAACACCCCCACACTTTTAAGTATTTGTAGGATGGTACTCTTCCATGCCACAAGTCATAAGGTGTTTGATTCACTTTTTTTCGGGATACTTTATTTAAAATATAATTAGCAGAAAATATTACTTCCCCTCACAAGTTCTAAGGTAATCCAGAACTGATTAACATGGCATTCATCATTTCTTTTAAAGTCCTATTTTTCCTTTCAGCAATTCTATTTTGCTGAGGTGAGTAAGGAGCAGTGGTTTAATGAATTATTCCATGTTCTTTACAAAATTCACCAAAAGGTGATTCATATTTACCACCTCTATCACTTCTAAGTTTCTTGATTTGCTTACCAAGTTGATTTTCAACTTCATTTTTATATTGAATGAAAGTTTCCAAAGTTTCATCCTTGGTTCGAATTAAATAAACATAACTATATCTAATATAGTCATCTATAAAAGTGATAAAATATTTTTTCCCACCTCTTGTTTGAATTGATTTAAAATCACATATGTCACTATGAATTAATTCAAGTGGTTCCGTACTTCTTTCAATTGAATGAAAAGGAATTTTGGATAATTTTGTCTCAACGCAAATTTCACATTTATGATTTGAATCAATGTCAAATTTAGGTAAACAGTACATATTAATTAATCTACGCAAAGATCTATAATTAACATGTCCTAGTCTACCATGCCATAAATTTGAAGACTCAAGCAAGTAAGAAGAATATGTATTTTTATTAATAACTGAGAGTACAATGGTCATTACATTTAACTTGAAAAGGCCATCAGACATGTAACATTTTCCTACATACATCCCATTCTTAGTAAGTATAATTTATCACTCTCAAACACTAGCCTAAACCCATTCTTACTCAACAAAGATCCAGAAACAAGATTCTTGCGAATGTCTGGTACATGCAGCACATTATTGAGAGTGAGTTCCTTTCCAGATGTCATCTTGAGAACAATCTTCCCTTGTCCTTCAACTTTGGAAGTTGAGGAGTTGTCCATAAAAAGTTGTTCACCATTGTCCACTATAGAATAAGATGTGAATATCTTTTTGTCGGCACAGATATGGCGAGTAGCACCAGTGTCCACCCACCATTCTTTAGAATTTTCGACAAGATTTGCCTGGAAAACAACTACAGAAAGATTGATATCATCTACACCATTGGAAATATTATCCACTTCGGTCATATGGGCTTGAGCAGGCTTCTTGCTTGTTCTTTCTTTGCTTTTGCCTTTGCTACGACAATCTTTGGCCCGATGTCCCTCTTTATCACAGATGTAGCATTTGCCATTAAACTTGTACTTTTTATTTTCCCCCCCTTTAGAGCCTTGTGATGAACTTTCTCCAAAAGACTTTCGTTTCTTGATTTTTGAAGCATGTTCCACCACATTTGCCTTAGACGCCATAGGATGCTTACCAGCCCGCTTTTTAGAATTGCGGTTGTCCTCCTCAATCCTCAAATGCACAATTAATTCTTCCAAAGACATTTCTTTGCGCTTGTGTTTGAGGTAGTTCTTGAATTCCTTCCAGCCTTGTGGTAATTTCTCAATTAAGGCTGCAACTTGGAAGGATTCACTGAGAGACATGCCTTCTGCGTGAATGTCATGCAGAATGAGTTGGAGATCTTGAACTTGGCTGATCACAGTTTTAGAATCAACCATTACAAAATCCAAGAATTTGCCAACCACATTTCTTTGAGCAGGCATCTTCTGTTTTGTATTTGTTCTCTAAAGACTCCCAAAGTTCCTTTACTGTCCTGATAGGACTGTAGACGTGGTATAGTGTGTTGTCAAGTCCGTTCAAGATGTAGTTCCGGCAAAAGAAATCGGCATGTTTCCAGGCATCAACCGCAGCAACCACTTGCCGGTCGGTTTCATCCTCTTTCAAAATAGGAGCATCAACCGCAGCAACCACTTCCCTGTTTCTTTCTTCATTTACAAAAATTATTTTCTGATTGTTGGAAAAATGGTGTTTTATAAGGCTTATGTTGGGCCAACTTTAAGCCCAAAATTGAGTAGGCCCCGAACGTCTTTTGGGATGGGTCCGAAGAGATGAAGTGTTCCTTGCCGCGTGGCAAGTCACACGGTGAAGACGGTTCGTCAAAACCATTTATGAGTGAATGAGAACATGACGTCGTTTTCGGGTTCATGGAATAGGAAATTTAAGGAAGTAAATGTAGGTTTCTTTGGAAAGGGTTGTCCCACATTGAAATTCTAAGAGAGTTTTGTTGAGTTTATAAGCTCTAGCCTACAACACTTGGGGTGCAATAGGTGCTGTTTTGAAAACAAACAAATATGCTGCCAGATTTTGAATCTGTTCGAAAGTAACAGATCTTTAACTGCTGGGCAGTTAAAACCGAGCCTGCTAGGTAGTTTTTCAGTTTGAATCTGAGACGAATTTCGGACAGGAGGAGATTTAAATGTTGGACAAAAATTAGAATTCAAATTTGAATTAAATTCCCGAAATATTTTTTGAAAAAATTCAAATGAATTTTGTCCAAAAAAATTAATACAAGAACCGACCCAATCCACAACCCACACCCGGCACGGCTCGGCTCGGCCGGACGGACGGACGGACGGCGGCGGCGGCGGCGGCGGCGCGCGCGTGTGGTGGTTTGGGCTAAGGTACACTTTGTCCATAACTCCTCCCTTCTACAAACTTGGAGTGCTCCTTGGGGCCCAACCCAAGTGTTGTAGGCTAGAGCTTATAAACTCAACAAAACTCTCTTAAAGTTTCAATGTGGGACAACCCTTTCCAAAGAAACCCACATTTACTTCCTTAAATTTCCTATTCCCAAACGTCTTTTGGGGTGGGTCCGAAAAGGTGAAGTGTTTGGGGGTGGGTCCGAAGAGGTGAAGTGTTCCTTGCCGCGTGGCAAGTCACACGGTGAAGACGGAACGTCAAAACCATTTATGAGTGAATGAGAAGTTGACGTCGTTTTCGGGTCTAACATTAATTTTTTAAATAAAATTCATTTGAATTTTTTCAATAAAAATTATTGTGGGAATTTAATTTAAATCTAAATTCAAATTTTGGGTTCCTAAGTGGTTTCCTAAAATTTATACCTCTTCCTTTATTGATTAAACTATTCAAATAGTTTAATATATATATTCCAAACAGTTTTAAAAAACTTTTTCATCGTTGGCTTTATTGATTAAACTATTCAAATAGTTTAATAATAAAATTCCAACAGTTTTAAAACTGTGCCACCAACGGATCTTTTTCAAACAGTTTGAAAAATTGATCTTTGCAATGGTCAGATCACTATTCAACACTTATCTGTTTGAATAGTGTGTGCACCTATTCACTTCAATTTGGTACTTGTTCGGGGTCAGGTTTTTGCCTATAAATTCAGACCATTTTCTGCAGTCTTGGATACGAAAAAATCTGTTTGAATTTTATTTCTCTTGCTGTCTAGATTTTTCTATTTGCATTAATTTTTCATATTAGTTTTAGAATAAGTTTTCAGAGAGTTAGAACACAGATTTGGTTCGCCGTATAATTTGTTTTGGAGTGCTACTACAAATTGGTTAAGATCATTGTATTCTGGGAGATAGACGCCACTCAACCGTAAGCACCGTAGCGGGACATATCTATCTTAAGGATAGAGTTTCACACAATCGACTTGGCCTATTAATTTTTTAATTTGATCCGATACATAAATTCGGTACGATATTTATTTATTTATTCGTTTTTGTTTCAATTTATTTTATTTACACAAAAGATTATTCTAACATATATTTCCCTATCCATTGCAAAATAAACATGAACAAGAGAAAATTATTTATCTCGATAATATAACTAATCTTACACTAATTTCATGAATTATTAATCCCCACACTATTAATCCTATGGCCTTAAGGTAAAACCCATATATATATTGAATTTGGGCAAGAATCGCATACCTGAACTGTGGAATTACCAAAATGGGTAGAGAAGAAACTGAGATTAGGCTGTCCATCGTCGAGGACCCAATCTTTACATGCCCTCCAACCATCCATGAGTCCAGTGAGAACAACTGGTTGGTTCTTCACGAGGTATCGCTCTACGAATTGACTGTAACTCACCTCTTTTCCATTCACCTTCTCTATGTGTCCTCCAATTTTCAGACCCATTTTCTGGGTTTCAGTTTCTGTTGTTTCCTTGTTTGGGGGTAGAGAAAATAAAATAAAATGCCGCATTTTCGCTCTTCCCGGGTCGGGTTTCACAACCTGCCCGGTTGTCCCAGTTTTGTGGGTTTCATTATTTCGGGTTTCAGACTTAGGCCTTGTTTGGCCTAATTTAAAAAAATCAAAAAATTAAAAAATTAAAAAGTTACTATCATATTTAAGTCATCAAAAAGTTACTATCATATTTAAGTCATATAATTTTATTTAAATCATATCGCCTCTTTAATATATCACTTCAAACCCAACCCATATTTCATAAAAAGTAAAAAAATACAGTTATTTAGATCATCCCAAACTACCCCTTAGACCTCTTTTGGTATGATTCTGTTTTAGTGTAAGGCCTTGTTTGTCATAACCTAAAAAAGTTAAAAAGTCAGTATCTTATTTAAATTATATCATCTTATTTAAGTCACATTACTTCTCTACCACATCACTTCAAATCCAACCCATACCCAATTCATATTTCATAAAAAATCAAAAAGTACACTTATTTAGAACATCCCAAACCACCCCTAAAAGTCAAAAAGTTACTAAAAGTCTATAATTTATATAAAAAAGTTTAAAATTTCATTTTTTCTCTACTTTTTGCACATCTTTTTATAAAAAATAAAAAAGTCATTTTAAACCTAACTAATTTTTTTTTACCCCATATTTTAACCAAAAAATTAAAAATTTACTAAAATAACCTGTTCATTCAAATTTTTTTCGTGTGGGTGTTGTTAGGGATGACAATTTGAACCTGGCTCGATGGGGACCCGACCCCCCGACCCCAAATTGAGCGGGTTTTCCCTGAAAAATATTCCCGACGGGACGGCGATGGTATTCAAAAATCAATCCTCGAACAGTTTTGGGCTGGGGACGGGGATAAGTGTTCTACCCCCGTACCCGGCCCGGCCACGTCCCCGTTCCCCGGCCAGGTTTATCCCCGATGTGAAATTACGGTTTTACCCCTACATATATATATCTAAACCAAACCCTGAATCTCACTTTCACTCCTCTCTCTCTCACAGAGCCGTGTCTCCAATCTCTCTCTACCTCACTTAATCACTGATTTCTCTCTCTCTATCAGATCCACCACCACCGTCGTTCAACTCGCACCACCACTACCACCGCGTCTCTCATCCACATCTACCACCACCGTCGTCCAGTTGGCACTGCCGCTTCACCTCCGTCGTCGACCACCACTGCCGTCCAGTTGGCACTGTCGCTTCACCTCCGTCGTCGACTCTCCACCTTCGTCCACCTCGTCACTCTCGCACCTCTCCTCCACCTCTCTTCTCCGTCGTCCATTGCGCCGATCTTCTCCAGATCTAAGCCGCGACAAAAAAGAAGCCTAGAGACAGATCTTCTCCTCTTCATTGATGTACATATCTACTAAGAATTAAAACCTTAAAAGTTATAAAAAAGTAACTAAGAATACATATAATACACTCTTTTTAAGGGGTGTATATAGTAAAATTTCTCTTAATTCTAACCTTGTTCTGTTTTGTTTTGTTTTGTTTTTTTTTTTTTTTGGTTGAGAAATATTCGGGGTCGGGAAAACCCGATCCCCGTTAGGGGGCGGGGGTGGGAACTGTGATAGGCTCCCCGTCGGGGATCGGGGACGAGGAGTGTGATCCCCGGCCCTGCCCCGCCCCGTTGCCATTCCTAGGTGTTGTGCTGTAGAATAATGTTTGTATATAGAATAAATTTAAAAATACAAAATGATAATTCTATATTTTTTCTGGTAATTAGGTCTAGCCCATAGTATTAATATTTGGGGACACTTACGGGTAGGTCCTAATAAATGAATTTATTGTTTAATAGGCCCTATGAAAAAAAATTGTCATAAAAAAGTCACTAATTATAAGTTTTAGTATCAATTTATAAAAATCATGACAAAAAAAGTCATTAATTGTCAATTTTTAGCGACGTATGTAAAAAATTGTCACAAAAAAATTATTTTTAACGATAATTTTATCAAAATTTATTTTTAATAAGATTTGATAAAAATTAAATTTAACTATTAAAATATATTGATAATTTACTTTTTAATGTTTGAGGACCGAACAGCCCGAACTTCTATACTTCAATTTATTGATTTTAAAAAAAGGAAAATGTTTGGTAGCTCAAATTTTTGTGACTCAAATGGCTCAAATCTGTCAAAACGACGTCGTTTTACACTCAAAATTTATCAAAACGACGTCGTTTTGACAGATTTAAGCAATTTAAACCACAAAATTTGAGCTACCTAGCATTGTCGCTAAAAAAAATCCTTTTAAAGTGCTAAGCATACAAAAGGCTCCAAAAACATAATACATGGATGTGAGATAACAAAATAGTTGCACACGTAGTTGCGAACATGTTCGCATATATATGTCATATTTGTACATTATATATTTGGAACTTTTTATACTCTTAAAATTTTCCTTAAAAGCTTGTTTGTTTGACCGCGTAGATTGTGGTATAGGATTGTGTTATAAGCCGGGGTCCACCCATGACATGTTTGCTAAGAAATATATTGGGGCCTTGTTTGATTGGAGGTTTAGGAGAGAAGGTTAGATTAGTAATCAATGAACCCCACGTACAGTACGTTTGTTTGTGGAGAAGTGATTTGAGATTGCTAATCTTATAATGAGTGTGTTTGTTTGGACGGACTAAATAATGAGAGATTGTAATTTATCAAACTATTAGTATTATGATATATTATTTCTGGACTATTTAGTTAGACTGATTTTTATCCTATGTTTGTTTAGTTATGAAATTAGATGTCTGGATTAGATTATTTTATACTCAAATGACTATTTTATCATTTTCAATTATTTACTAAGTAATAACAATATTAAACATAGTTTTGATATTTTAATTATTTTTAGTTAGATTAAATAAAAATTTATTTTATTTTATTTTTTGCACAATTAAAAAATTTATTTTTAAAAAATTAAATATCAATAAAAATATATGTTATTTTTTAATTAAAATTTTAAATGTATTTATTTTTAAAAATAATAATAATAAAACAATGAAATTAAATAAAACATATATTAAAATTTAAATAATGAAATTAAATAAAATATAAACAAAATTTTAAAACAAAACATCAATAAAATATCTATAAAAAATTATTTTCAAAAATTAAATAAATAAAACATCAATAAAAAGTAAATTAAATTACGTTATTTTTAAATTGAGACATTTAAATTTTTTTGAATTTTACTAAATTTAATACATAATTAATAGTAAATGGTCAAAATGATCATTTCACCACCTAATCCCATATGATTGTTATCCCACGAAAATTGTCCAACACCTCTCCCTTGGACAATGTAATCCCATATATGGGGATAAGGAGTCCAGCCGGACTCCATGTTCGGCGAACTAAAAAAAAAAAATGCCGAATAAAAGGCTTCCAATGAATTACAATCCAAATAGTAAATAGTCTCCCCTTAATTTCCCAATGAACTTTGTGTTTGGTTGTGAAAATTTTGCAAAAATGTCTTAGGTAAGATTAATGGAGACTTTCTTGCTACGGATAAACTTGTGTTTTGAAAATAAAGTGTATGATGTATTAAATTGAAGTGATATGAGTCGCATCCATAATAACATTTTTGGAGTACTTATTTTTGTATTTTTAAGATCCGCATTATAATTTATATGAACCGTGCTAAAGGCCTCGAAATTGGAGGGGCGAATTTGCCTCGAAAAGTTGTTTTGTCTGTGTTTTTTTTTTTTTTTTTTTTTTTTTGGTTTGGTTATAAAATAAATTTATTTAATTGTGTAAAAAATAAAATAAAATAAATTTTTATTTAATCTAGCTAAAAATAATTAAAATATTAAAGATATATTTAATAATGCTATTACTTAGTAAATAATTGAAAATGGTTAAAATAGTTTGTTGCTCATTTATCCTTATACAGTCCGTCCAACCAAACATTGAATTCACTAAAAATAGTCATTTCCAACCATCTAATCCCATAAGAAAACAAACACGAGATACACATCCAATCCAACCAAATAGTCCGGAGGATTCACAGTTCCAGGATTCAAGTCCGATGGATTCTAATCCTCCCTTATCCAGTCTATCCAATCAAATCAATCCCCATCCATGGAAAGATTAGAATTCCCATGGGAGGGATTTGATTACTAGTCCACTCTTATGGATTTATGCTAAAAGAGCATTTTGCCCCTCATCTTACAAAATCAACAAAGTTATCTTCTAGATGATAAGGGCTATTATGTAATTTCTATATTTAATTCTAACTAATTAATACCATCACAGTAGTGCATAAATAAACAAATTTTATCTTACATCTCTAATCTAATATTACCACACTAATATTTTTCTCATTCAATTCCATCGTACTCTTACTCTCATTCAATTCTATCATACTCTTAATCTCCTTCAATACAATTTGCCAATCATAGGTGGTCTGGAGGATCTTCTCGTTTAGGAATAGGCTATTTTAATAATTTTTTTTTTTTACTTTTTATGAAAAGATATACAGAAAAATAGAGAGAATGATGTGACAACTGTAGATACCCCATTTTTGACGGCCTTTACGACTTGGGCACCATCACTTGCACACCCAGTGATGAATGAATATGCTTGTCAAGTGCTCGAAAGTCTTCAGTGGAGTCTCACAACTTTGAGCCTTCAAACTCTACACACCTGTTGCCTTATTTTTGGACCAAAACTAGAGTTTTTCAAGCCTGCAACCTCTTGTGGCTTGTTGGCCACTACTATTGGCTGCTGGCCACTGATGTGGCCTGGCGGCCAGCTGTGGTGGCCTGCTAGCCACCATTAGTAGCCTGCTGGCCATGTGTGTGTTTTGTAGATATTTTCTGCACGGCCATGTGTGTGTTTTGTAGATATTTTCTGCCAACTGTGCTAGTTGTTTGCACAGATGCTTGCATCTGCTCCCACGTATATGGAGGGATGTTTCTAAGAGAGGTTCATGTTTTCTATAGATAGAGGACCTCCCCTCTTGCTTTGGAGGTTAGAAAAATTTT